TTTTAATGGCTGTGAGATAAGCATGGAAGCATTTTATATATCTATATCGTATCTACATATATCAACCTAAGCATTCTAAGGTTTTTTTTTTAACCTAACAGCTTCAAAATTATCGCTTGCTTTCCAGCCAGTTTAAAGCCAGTGGCAATGCCCAAAATGCTAAGCTATCTGTAGCTGCTGTTGCTACTATTTTCCGCCCATTTTTTCCACTTTTTGTGTCACACGGCAGACACTCCTCCCCCATTTTAGCCGCGACACCAAATGAAATGCCTGAGGGCAGTAAATTTAAGCGCCTGGCAGGAGTTGCTCCTTGTTGGCAGGACCAGGAATCGGGGAGTCGAGGAGCTGTGGAGCTGTGGAGCTGTGGAGTTGGCCAGCGGAAACGGCAATGGAACGCGGTTTCGGCCACGTGGCGAGCGGAGTATTTACCGCCATGTGCATAGTTTGCAAGTCTGCGCGGCGACACCTGCAGGAATGGTCACCCCAGACCGGGAGTCCTGCTGCCCGGATCCTTCATCCTTCCCTCCAATCCCCCAATCACCCGATCCCCCCATCCACCCTGTCCATCCAGATCCCAGGACCAGACTGGAGAGCAGACATGGCCACTAACAACATCAAAAAGTGCCAAGTGCCAAGTGTTTGCGTTGGTCGCCAAAATGCGGCCCTACAAATTGTTCCTCTTCCCCTGTATTTTTATACCCTGTAAACTGGGCTACTTTGGAGGTGCATTGGTGTTGAATAAGGTTGGTTCTTGTATCATTGAAATAGTAATTCATAATCTATATAGTATAGTAAAAATATATCAAAATACTAATCTAAAATGTTAGCAAAATGAAACTTGAGATGATTACCTGATGATCTACAATACCGTAGAAGGGTTTATCTAAGCCTCAAAATATAATTAAAAAACATTATATAATTTAAAAAACTGAATAATTTTCAATTATTTTATTTATTTTATTTTATTTTATCTACATGCATCTTTGTATTATAATATATTAAGTTTTATTGCAAAACCTATTAAGTTTTTCAATCAAAATAAAAATACGGAATGGGTATTTAATGGTCGTGCTAACGAGTAAAGTGTCCTTGTTTTTAACCGTGTGACATTTTTCTTTTTTATTTACGGAAGGGGAGTTTTCGGCCCTAATGTGGACTGGTCCAAGTTTCCTTCCTCCTGTTTCTCCGCTTCTTTCCACTTTTTTTTATTCGTTTGTTTTGTTTTTTTCACTTGTTGGCTACTCTTTTATGCACATCGATTTTCGCTCAGTGCTTTTTATTTGCCATTCTGCGGAGAAAGGGGGAAAAGAGGAGAAAGGTGGAACTGTACATCGGAGTTGTTTGTTTGGCACTGTTTGTTTATGTGCCGTAACTGGTTGGTGAGAAAACGGAGGATAAAGCAGTGGGAAGGGAAGTAAAGGGTGGGAAAAAAGGAAAAAAAAAAACGAAAAATTGGGGAGTGGTCGAGAAAAGGGCGGGGAAAACCAGGAACGGGGGCACAACTTTTTAAAGCGACATTTAACGATGCTCTTGAGTTGAACACAACACTTGCAAGGACCGAGTGAGTGCCACATGAGTGCATTCATTCACACACCACACTCAAACTCAGAGTCATGAGTCCCGGCGAGTACTCACTTGGCACCCGAAGCAATTAAAACGCATCCTTGGTTTTATACCAAATACTTTCCGAGCTTAAAGTTAAAACCTTCGATAGTTTAAAGTTTGTATCTTTATACCCGTATGATAAATACTGATCGAAATATATGTATGTACACTTATAGTGTAAGCATATGTTTAACATAAATCGTACATAGATTTAATAGATTAAAGACAATAGTTAGAGTCGTTATTTGTTTACTTTTATTATTTTTCTAAAATAATTTTCTGATCGTTTTGACAACCCAAATTTCTTTAACTGACGCTAAAAATATAATTCCATTACATTAATTGATCACTCATATAAGATGAACAAACATGAATTAAGGTAACTTAATACTAATAAGTTTATGTGACTTACTATACTAGTAATGAATGTGACTTTTTAAAATCTATTATTTTAAGGTCTCTTTATAAAATGGGTTATTAGTTGCCTTGAAAATGGTGATCTACTTTTTGTAACTGATTTTAATGGAGTGAAACGTTGGCGACCGTATCTGCATTGGCAGTTAATAAACAATTTTAGCCGTGCTAACAAGGTTTGCCAAGTAAGGTACCCTTTTTGACACTGACATTTTGGCAAGTGGCGGATGGTTTGCCAACGCTTCAAGTACGGCGACAAATCGGGCAACAAAGGGAAATGCTTTTTACGGGGTGGGGCGTGGCGAAACTTAGGGAAAAGCTGTGGAAAATTGCCAGCGAGAGGAGTGGCTCTGAATACATGTGTACATGTGATGATTCATTTTGCAATATTGCATATTGTGCGTCGCACTTAAATTCAATTGAGCTACAAAGGCAGTTGCACAGCACAAGGCAGCCAGCTCGAAACATCGCACACACGAGAACCGGGCACCACAAGCGTCCAATAACCCATCAGCTGTCGCTTCGGGAAAACCCCGAATAACACCCACCCACCCAGCACCACCTACCACCACCCACAACCCACAATCACCCACCATTGAAGTAACCGTGACTACACTTTATAGCATTGCCCTTCGTGCACTCACTCATTCGCTCATTCATTGATTCATGCACCAATTCGCCCAGCCATTCAAGCCGGCACTCATTCAATCATTTCTGCCGAGTCCTCGACGATATCGCTTTAGCTTTAGCATTTGCTTTAGTTTTCGGCTGCCAAGCTTCAAGATGGCATTGTAATTTTTAAGCCAACACTTATTCTGGTAAATGCTTGTCCAATTTTATTTTAAGCCATGTAAATAATTAGAGCTGAGCTAATAATATGATTTAAACAATTTTTCTAAAAAAACATTCGTGAAATAAAACCTCTTAAAAGTAGACTATAAAAATTACAATCAGTACCATCGGAAATAATAAAACTATTTTCAAGCTAACATAAACTTGTAAACCATATTAATGTGTAGTCTAGACCTGTTTTTTTCTTTCATCTGAACTATTAATTTACGTAACAATTTCTCTTTTAGACTTATTTAAAAATTTTTTTGCTCTTTACGACATATATCTTAAAAATGTTATTTAATTAAAAAGGTGAATATTATTGTTTGATAACCCCTGCTAATTGTTTTATTATTTACCATCGAAAGTAACAGCTTATATTATAATTGGTTATTGGCGTAACTCCTTTTCCATTTTATGAAGTGAAATGGTTTCGTTCTGCTCCATTTAAAAATTGAAAAAGTGTTTATCACGGACGACCCCATCTCCTTTTCAGGAGTCCCATTTTATCGAGGGTATCTCCTCATATTTTGTTTGCTGTTGGCGGGTTAAAACTAAAGTCGTCCTGTCGGGGCGTTGGCTGGCCTTGTGGGTGTGGCAGCTCTCTAATTTCATTTACACGCTTTTCAACGCTCCCCAACGCTCCAATCGAGCTCCATTTAAATGTTTGCCTAGGTGCGCCCCACTAACAGCCACCCACTCGTCCACCCATCCACCGATCCACCCATCCTCCCATCCACCCACCAATCTACCCACCCATCCACCCATCCATCCATCCACTCACACAGATACTCGGAGGTAAGTAAGTGGAACTTCCGGAGCGGAGCCGTACTACGAGTATAATGCCCGCTTCGCATACATCCTTGGGTGCTTTCGCTTTTGAGCTCCAGTTTGCGTTTGCGTTTGCATCTCGCAGATGCCTCGCTGCCATGTAGAACTAATTCCATTAAGGCCAGCTCTAACTTGATTTTCAATTGACTCCTCATTTGCAGTGGTGCGGTGGGTGTCGGTGTGGGTGTGGGTGGATCGGTGGGTCAGGACGCGCTGTCAGCAATCAACATGTTCAATTGAGCATATCCTGCCGGCTGCAGGACACTGCCATACTGCCATACTATACCAGAGCAATGTGATTACCCAACGCTATTTTCCACATACACCCGTGCAGTGGCGTGGGCAGTATTCGGCGAGAGGGGAAAGGGATCTTACGGTTTTACAGGACTTTCATCAAGCTATACTTTTTTCAAAAACTTCAAAAAAACGTCTTTAGTTTACTTGGGTATTGAATAAACTGTGTGTTTTTTAATAATTACAAAAAATAATTACTATAAACCTTTTATTATCATATTTACTTAAAATATTTAGGCTACTAAAAACACTCAAAAATCAAGTCTTAGATTAAAGCTTATTACTTTTCAATTCCCCTGTCTACGTCACTGCCTACTCGACACTAAAAAGAGATGGGTAATAGGGCATAGAAAGAGACGGCGATCCAGAACACAACAGGAAGAAGGTCCAGCGGGCGCCTTTTACATTTCATTGGATTTTATGCGTTTCACTTTATGCTGATGTTTTTATTATTAAATTTTCTTGAATTTTCATTTACATTTTCTGGCTTTCTTAGCGCCGGCTCTATCTTTATACCCATCTCGCTCACTCCTGTTTCTCTCTCTGTTTGGTCGTTAGTGTTGTTGCTGATGCTGATGACTCCTCTTCATTTTCACACTTTTCATTCAATTTATTGCATTTTGCAAATTGAGTGTCGCTTTCCTTAGATCTATTCTCCCTCCTGTTTCGTCCTGGCCACATCATTCTGTCCTGTTTCCCCACTTTCCTAATTTTCCAAAGGAGACAGTGCAAAAATGGCGAAAAAAGTATCTAAAAAGAAGCCAATTCGATTTAGGGATAAGGAATGCTCAAAAACGAGCTGAGATGATAAATCTGGGTATACATTTACAGACATATATTATAGCTATAAAACGTTGTCCAACAAAGAATATTTTTTAAATAAATATCAAAAATAAAAAAAAACTCGTTTATACATTTTTTTAACTTGAATTTTATCCGTTGTTTTACTATTTTTATAAATAATTTATGTTAACAAAATGCAGTTTCTTCAATGAGGTGGGTGTTATATATCTTCGAATTTGAAAACTAGTTTCTGTGGCAAATATATTTTTAATATTTTCATTGATGTCAAATGATATGAAAATATTCTGACTTATAAACGTAGAAATTTGTAGTTATTTTTCCATATTTTTCGGTTATAATTTTCTTGCTTTTCTAAGTTGTTGGATTGAAAACTTGACCCATCATAGCCGCCATCTGAATGCTCACCAAATCCCTGCCATTGTGAGTGAGACTATCCACCTGATCGGCTGTTAGTATAATGACCTTGCCACTTCTAACCAAATCTATGGGACGAAGACTCTGCCGAATATCATAGGGGCTTCCGGTGAAGGACATGATACTCTCGGGGGAATCCCCTGTTGTTGGCCACAAAGTCAGGACAATTTTCAGGGGCAGACAATCGGAGATGAGTGTTGCAGCCCAAATAAGAGTTAATTTCTGATTCAATCGTCTATTTACCAGTATCTCGCCCAGATGCACTTGCATACTCATTATAAGAATGGGTAATAGATCATGTTTTTGCACAAAGCCCCATTCATTGACCACATTAGGCACTTGCATGACAGCATGACATCTTACATTCTGATTTGTCAGTCGCAAATCCAATCTAAAACTCTTTGGTTGATTCAATTCCAGTCGATATACGATCCAACTGCGATGACAAGTGGCCAGATGATCGTTGATATTCCCTGTATAAAGGTGCTCTTCGCAATCCAAATCCGGACACTTGGTCAAAAGGCATTTCGTAATCAAACGTTGTACTGGCATTGGTAACACCACCTTGCCCATCTGAAGTCGTACCAGAAGATCGGCCACCAAATCCTGCGGACAGGTCACCATTTCGGAGTTCCAGCCCCTCAAGTTTTGAGTCCCAAGACGGACACGTCTTACCAGGGATATATGATTACGCAAATCACTTGGATTCAGACTTTTGGGTTCCGAACTGAGAAACTTAAGGGATCGATTTTTTGTCAAAAATGGACATCCAAATGTAACATTTTCCTGTTCGGCAGAAAATGTACCTATATTTAAGTCCTCTTTATATGGAAAATTGTTTAAAACTGGTTCCTTTTTAGCATTATATGTTCGTAGATCCTTAGTAATTGGAGCTTTTCCGACTAAATCATTATCATCACGATTATTTCCTGGGGCAGCGTTATTTCTATGAAATAATGTTTTTAGTTCGTTTTCGGGTTTTTCCTCTAGACAGGGAAAACTTAATAGTACGCCCTTATTTTCAACGGCGTAAGCTTTTTCATCTTTTACGTAGGTTCTTTCAGTTATATTGGATGAATATGTTAATTTCTCCTCATACATATCTTCTTCTGCATACCTTACGGATTTTTCCCTGGGACTCTTTTCTTGATAGGGATAACCGATGAGTAAACGCTTCTCTTCGGCAGTATAATCATCTAAATACATCACTTTTGGCTTCGTAGAGGAGTTATTAAACTCACTTGGATAACCATGTGGTATACTCTTATCTTTAGTGGTGTAAATTGAGCATTTAGGCATCTCTACAAATGGTTCTTTATGGGGTGTTAAGTCATCGTTAACTATGAGTCTTAGTTTCTTACCATGACTTCCAAATGGTAAGCCATTGTTAACACTTTCAACTTCTAAGGGCTTCACTTGATCATTATTCTCTTTGGGAATATTTTCCTTTTTTGGATAACCAAAGACGTTAGTTCTCTTGGCTGTAATCCCAGCTTTTTTTGTATTATATACGATGCTTTCTTGTTTATAGGGATAATCTTGAGGTATCGTCTTGAAAATTTCAACCGTCGGACTCTCTATAAGTCTTTGTTCTTTATAAGGAATTCCTATCAATATGGAATGTTTTGGGGCAATATGAAAATTGTAGTCGATAGATTTAAAATGCTTTAAGGGGAGACCTCTTTCCATGGGTCTATGCTCGCCATTTAAAAGACGGCATATCGCTAGTGGATCATCGAAATTAAAAGATACAGAATCGGATTTCTCTTCACAAAGTTCCATTGTTGTGGGATCTTCCTCTGGGATTTCCTCAAGATGTGGCAGCTCCAATTTATTTGAGTCATTATTTGGTTTGCGATAGGTCTGCCCCAGGGGAAATTCGGGATGCCAAGGCTTAGTGGCTACCATGGAGGTACTTTGACTTCCGATGTCAATCAGCGATTGGGATCGATCCCAATTGCTTATGTTTTGATTCCGCCAGAGGGTTACGACCTCCGGGCCAGTAGAAAACCTGTGTCCAATTCCGAGGGGCAGTGGTGGCACCTTGCTGGCAGCATACGAATTCCTGGCACTGCCCATTTCCCGCTCCTCGTCGGCGAATCTCAGGTCCACGTAGATCAGGTGGGTATTCTCGCCGCACAGGCCGCAGTGCTTCCTCATCTCATCATCGCACCTCACACACTGGTAGTGCTCCCGGTTGCACACACAAACCCCAAACGAGGGCAGCCGGGAAAAGGGCGATATGGTCGCCACCTCGCACATCACACAGTTCATCGTGGATCAGGTTCAAAATATATATTTTAAAAATGTATATAAAAGTAGTTGAAATCGGCAAGGAAAGAGTGCTGTTGCAGGGCACACTCCCGGAGAAGTTGATCCCTTGGCCACAAACAAATACTACTAGATAACATTTTTATTGGTAATGGTAATTATTTTTTTGGAAATATAAATTTCCATAAAATTATTTAGTTTTAAGAAATTTATACTAATTTAAAAAGGTATTATAGATCCATTTTTCAGATGCTGTATTATTTGTATACATACAAGACCTAAATATTAATTTTTGATCGTCATAAACAGAGTATATTTTAATTTCTCCAAGAAAAAGTTTCTTAAAATACATATAAAGGCAGCCCATAACGTTATATTTCTTTTAAAATTTATTTTTGTCAAAAAACTCTTCAATTTTTAAAGGTTAATAATTGTATACTAAAGTTAATTATTTTTTAAATTTAAAAAAGCATTGATTTTTTTCGCTCAGTTTATGACCATAGATTTTAACGTTAAGTGGGTATTAAATAGTCGCACCGTCCGACACAAGCGTACTTTCTTGGTTCACTTTTCCAATGAAGTAACCTTAGGGATATAGTTCACCGATCGGACGACCAAAATCAGTAGGGCCTTGCGCGTTGGCTGGAAACGAGCAACGGAGCCTTCGAAAAACATGTGAGCTGTGCAACAATCAAAATTAACACAAGGCCATAATTCCAGTTGAATACTCAACTGAACTCGCGATCTGCACAGTACGAAAAACAAGGGCACGTTCAGAAATTGAAAGGATGTCCAGCGAGCAGTCCAACCCCCAACCGGAAACGGAAACGGAAAGAGAAGCGGAAGCGGAAGGCAGCCACGAACTGGCAGCGGAAGTGGAACCCGAAGTCACCGCCCTGGAAGCTCTATCGATCGCCAGCTTGGCCAGTTCCGAGGAGGAGGGTGCACCCAGCACCAGCCAGTGTCGAGCGGCGGTACCCACCGCACCACTCACCGGTTGTGTGGTGCGAATCAAGCGGGAACTGCAGGACGTTCGCAAGCATCCGCCGCCCAATTGCTCCGCCGAAATGTACCACGACGATCTATTCCGCTGGACGGCGGGTGTGAACGGGCCAGCCGGATCGGTCTACGAGGGCGGTCACTTCCGGCTGGACATCCGCTTTCCCACCGCCTATCCCTTCCGACCGCCGCGCATCCGGTTCACCACCCGCATCTACCACTGCAACGTGGACAGCCGGGGCGCCATTTGCCTGGATGTCCTCGGCGAACGCTGGTCGCCGGTGATGAATGTGGCCAAGGTTCGTTCGACTTCCCTTCCATTTCTTCCCTTTCATTACTTAAAATGAATGCCATACTCCATACATCTAATAGTTTAGTTTACTATTCAGTTCATTAATTCAAACCATTTCTTACGCCATGTTTTTCTATTAAACATATAACAATTGTAAATTTTGAAGTCCAATTGGTTGACTGCAGCAATATTGAAAAATACAAGATGGTAAAAGTATAAAAGTCGTGAAATTTTTTTGTAAATAGTATCATCTTTTTTTTTGTACAAAAATTTCGGTGTAATTATTTATTTTTCTTTTAAGTTTTTTCAAATTATTTCTTTATTTTTGTATCCGTCCATCGAGGCATTTTTTTTTATAAAATTTTTCAAGTTGCGAATAACTAAAACATAATTTTTAATTGGGTGTTGGGAGAAATACCTACGCAGTAATTAAAATTAGCATCTTATTGATTTTCAAAAAAAATTGTGGCATTAGATATTACTAAAATTGAACTGACATTTTTAAAATATGATATTTTTATTGTTTTTGTCTCGAATACCACTAGGTTCTGCTGTCCATTTACGTGCTGATGAGTGAATGCAATCCGGATGATCCGCTGGTCATGTGCATCGCCGACCAGTACAAGACCAATCGCAAGGAGCACGACAAGATCGCCAGGCACTGGACCAAACTGTTTGCCATGACCAAATCGGAGGATAAGGATAAGGAGAAAGTGCAGGAACAAGGTCAGGAGCAGAGTATGGAGCAGAGTCAGGATCAAAATCAGGAGCCCAGCCCAGTGCCAAGTCAGCCAGAAAATTAGCAGTCGGAGAAGCAGCCAATGCCCAAGGAACTTCAGTAGCCCAATACTCCATAAAACTCGCACATACCACTTGAATCCGTTCATCCTAATAAACTAAAAACAAATGGCACAACAAAATGTTTTTCAGTTTTCGTTTCATCGATAAATAAGCTTTCGAAATAATATAAAAAACACAAATAAAACCTTGTTTAAACTTATTACTAATCTATTATTTATTCACCTGCTTAAATCGAAATCATTTATAAAAATCCCTAGAACAGAAAAGGAAAACCCAGTGAACTTTAGATATTTTATACATTTTTGGGAGTTATTTTATTATGTGTATTTATTGAGCACAATATTTAAACTCAAAACAGCATATATCAATCTGATTAAATAATATAAACTATACGAAATCATGAAACCAAAAAATTATAACTAAGCCAATATCAGAAAACCAATGTCAGGGCCTCCGTTTTTTTTCACAGCAATAAAAAATCTTGTGTTTAACTTAAATTTTTGTTGACCGGATTAGTTTTAAACTTTTCCATTACAACAATTAAGCAAATTTAGTTTATAGTCACCATCTTTTTTTTTTAGCCATTGAAGTATAATTAATGGAAACGAATTTTGAATAGCTTGTTCTTATTCGGTAGTTTTTCGAATTTACAGCCAAGCCAAGCGAACGCGAGTTAATGGTGCTCTAAAAATTATCTGAACACAATATAAATATTAAAGTATTTTAAGCCGTTTTCGAGAGCACTTTCTACGGTTTAATGGGTTTTTTGTAGTGCCGCAAATGTAAGCCAGTTGAGAGCCTCCCCCGCTTGGCCCATTGAACTGCCACCTCAAGGCAAGCAGTTTTCAAAATACTCAACCTCCCTCCACACTCGAATACTGACTGTGTCAGATAGCCCACGCGGTCCTTTGGCCGCTCATGTCTATGAATATTCATGAGCTGCCAAAAAATGAACGTTGGAAAAACATCCACGGCCCAATGGCCCCGTAGATGGAGGGTGGTGCTTTCGGTTGGCTTTGAAAAATGAATTGGAACGGGAAAGGTTTAAGGATGCCAACACCTCCAACTCCACCGCCATCGCCACCGCCACCGCCACCTTCACCAAGATGGCAATGCAGGCCATCAGTGATACAGGACAGGATACAGGCTCAAAGGACCTCGGCCAAAAGGGTTTCCGCCAAACGGGGTCACCTCAATTGAGTGCGAGAAAATATTCAGGCGAGCTCTTCAGGCCGACAATCTATAATGCCTATATGGCACTAAGCAGAAAGCAAGGATGGCAAACACAATTAATGTCCTGCAAACTGGAACGCCACTTAGGACAACCAGAAAGATGATATATGCACAGGAGTCTTTCAAAAAATCTCAGCATAACCAAATATAGTAAAGAAAGGAAGTAACCTTTTTAAATGTGTTAAGTGGAACATAAATGCACCAGTTTAAACATAATAAATACTTTCTCGTTATTATAAAGAAGTTTAATATATATGTAAACAAAAATTGTTATTCATTGTTTTCCTAATTAAGGATTATTGCTTAAAAATTATAGACTTTAAAAACAATTCCGTTGTAAGGTTTTAAAAAATGATTTTTCTACAATCTGTATAAAAGATTCGGGACATGACTTTGATATTAAAATGTAATCAAGTAAAAATTGTATTTAAGCTAGATTTATAATATTTTTTGTATGTTCTCTAAAGCTTAGTTGTAAAAACATTGTAAAAGTATGACTGTTCTTATCTGCAAACCATTAAAAACGAGGTAATAAAAAACGAATAAAGCAACTTAGTACTTTTAGTCATCGGATATTTATTCCAACACATTTATAAATAATAATTTATGAATGGTTAGAATTATGGGGAAAATAAATCATGAATATCAAATTATATTTTAATTGCAGTGCAATACTGCAAGACTAATGTATTTTTTCAGATTCATGATGGCTTTATTCTAACGAAAGTTAATATATTGAAGCATCAGCTGCTTCGGTCAACGCAATATGTGACAATATAGATACTGACAGTTAGCGGAAATCCAGAACGCAATGAAACCTTATGAATCCAGGGTGATAAACGCATAGCACTAGTCACTGGTGGCAGCAAAGGACAAATCCCCTCGGCCACAGAAAACCCTTGGGAAAGAGTCTGGCCGACAATGTCATCAAAGTGCCGAGTGCCTTTCCAATATCGCCGCCCATTCCCTGTCCGCCGCCTGTCCCCCCCGCTTCCACGCCCCCTTACTCCCCTCATTTTCCCGACAAGTCAAACGTTAATGAACTTAAAGAAATTAATTTAAGTGCCATGCCACCCACATATGGTGGCACATATGTACAAAGTGTATCCGCTCGCAGCTTAACGCCTGTCCCGATGCCCGTTTATTGGAAACGACATCCGGCCTGGACGTCAAACTCCTCGGCCATTTGGCCATTCGGCTTGGATCGGATCAGATGGGATGGCCTTCTTGCCGGGCCAATGCAATAAAAGCAACTTGCTCGCACTGAGACAACTTGACCGTTAAAAATGAAGTCAGCCCCTGTCTGCCAGTTAAGTTGCCAGCTCATATTGAAAACGACTGCGGAATGCGCTTTATCTGGGGTACCAATCACCTCTTACCTCAAGTAATAATATTAGGATTAAAATATATCTGAAATTTGGATGAATGCCTATTATGTTTTTTAACAAGTTAGGGTCAACGTTTTTCAAATAAAACTACAAATATTTTCCCAGCTGTAAAATATGTTCAGTTTATTTTTATTTAAACGTCAAGTTTAGTTAAAATTATGGGGGGAATATTTATGAATTTTTTTAAGGAAACATGTTCTGTTTTCCTTTTTTAATAATACAAATTATGTTTAAAATCATTCTATTAATTATTATTATGTTCGTCTATTGCTGAGCGATAATGGTTTTAATAAATTTCCAATACTCCCGCAAATACATATGTTATAAGATAATATGTTTTGATGAGATGAAAAATGAATGTGCATATAAATATAAAACCAATAAAATGATTAGACCATGAATTGTTATATATACAAAATTTTGAAACCCATTTGTAGGTAGTAAGACCTGGTTTTCTTTTTATTCCTCGCAGCACGAATTGTCACCGCAGAGCTGCAAGTGCCACAAACCACACAAGTGATGACTTTGCTCAAACTTCCTGTGCCCGTCCTCATTAGTCCCCGCGGGCCCCCTTCACCCCACCCTGGCTAATCCCACAGAGCCGCCCGATTCCAATTGGCAATTGGCTATTGCCGGCAAACAGGCAAATAAGTAGGACAATCCGTCACAGCTTCGAAAGTGGATTCAGATGTGTTTTGGGCATAGAGGATGCGTCGACCTCGCTCGATAATCGCATTGCATGATGGGTGTCCAAAAGTGGGTGTTAAATTAGGAGGTGCACGTCGAATTCGGAGGAGTTGGGCGATGATGCCACATTCGCGAGCAGTTCTCGGGTGCAATTCAATTCCCATTCGGTGCAATTTCCATGGCGAGTTAAATTCGTCACGGCTAGATCTCCAAAATCAATTGAGTTTCAAATCAGAATCCACAGAGTCTCCGAATCAAGGGGTTAAAGTTCCCCAAACACGTTCACTGAACAAATATGAAAACAAAATTATTTTATTATCTTGTTAGCTTTTATTAATTATATTCCAAATATTATGCAAAAACAAAACTAGAAGGTAGGGTTTTTCATTTTTTTTTAAATTCTTTTATAGAAAATGTTTTTAAATATAATTTATTAATTATTAAAAGTCCTAGTTCAGGAAAAAGCTGTACGTATTTAAAATTAAATTAAAATAACTCCGCCCAAGTGTTTTTTGATTTAGAACATAAGGCCTGCCATCAAAAGAAATTTTGTACAACACAAAAAAAATATAAAAACAAAAATTGGTGTTTTTTAAAGCTTTAATTAATTAGAATTGAGTGACAACCTTAGTTAAACTATACAACAAGTAAACTGAAAAGGATTCAAATGATCTAACCATGATTTAATTATTAATTAATAGTAATCATAGTTTATAAACTGTGATAGGCACTCTAGAATTACTTTTTACTTGCTAATAAGTATGAAAGCCCCCAGAATGGATAGTCGTAAATAAACAAGATCCCTCTCCACCTTCCAGCTGATATACCCCATTTTCGTGTGACACATGGCAATAAATATTGCCGCATGTTAAATGTTTCGCTCGCCCCTTTTTCGTTGACGACGGGATGGTCTTGAATGCTCAAACTGGAGGATTGGAGGAGCCAGCAGGGCCATGGCCACTCGCCAATATTGCACAAAATTAACAAATGAGCCCGACAAGCGTCCGGCTGATGAGTTTCGATGCCCACGCCCACTGGATCCCCGGAAAAGCCCCCGAAAACCCCGGAACACCCCCTCGTTTTCGGCCATTTTCCATGGCCGGGGGGCCGGGCCGATTGAATTCCGTGTCAAACGGTTTCTGCACTCTCAGCTTTTATTGAATTCCATTACAGATTCATGTCCATCAGAGGAGTAACGTCATCATAAGGACCGTATGGCCGTATGGCCGAATTGCCGGGTTGTTTGCCTTTTCGGGGCAACATAATGAACACCCACCGATTGCTGTCGTTAATGTTAATGGCAAATTGTTTTAGAGCACCGACTTCTGCCGGTGACAGTGTGACTGCGCCAGGACGAGACCCGCATCCTGTTTGGCCATCCACTGGGAGAGAGAGCGTAGTTTGTCAAAAGTGCGACTACAAAAGCAATAGCTCCTTATCGGACCAGACAGACTTTTCCGACGGGCGGAAAAGTCCGGCGAGTGCGGGGCGGGGAAAACCCATTATGATTATGCCGGCGGAACGTCCAAAAGGATTGCGTATCGCCCAGGCCTTTATTTTCGGCCAGCAATTCTCTGAGGCCTTACCAAGGTTTTCGCCATTTAAAAATCACCAAGCTTCGAAAGCCAATTAATTAGGACTCAAGTGCACTGAAACATTTGGGGTAATATATTTTGCCAAAAAAGAGCTTAAGTAATCAAACATTTTTTAAGAACACCGTTATATAACAGTATTTTAATTAAATAAATTAATTTAAATTTAAGTGTATAGAATCTTCCTATTAAGTTTTTTTTTATCGAAACATA